GCGGCATCCTTGCCGGGGGACGTTGGACGAGCGTCGCGGTTTGGGGGTAGCGGGGGGCATTTATGGTGCGCGCAGCGCGGGTGGAAGAAAGCGGTATGAGCGACCGGGGCGGCAGGCGGAGCCTACTCCTTTTGACCTCGCGAGACGGTGCGGCGAGTGGCGTGCTGCGCCAACAAACGCAGCGCGATAGATCGCGCTGACACGCCCGCGGGCCCGCCCCCCTGCCGGCCGCACCCGCGCCCGTTCCCGCCGTCCCCGCCGCACCGTTGGCGGCTCGCTGTGCACACCATGACGCCCGCCGCGTCCCGGCTCGGCCGCCCCCGCGCGCCCCCTGAAAGATGCGCCCCGCCTACATACGGCGCCCGCGTCTACATACACGTACGTCATGCGCCCGCATTGGACCGCGCCAGTCAGTTTCCGGCGCAAGGGGCGCGCTACGCCGCGCACCCGCGCGTCTGCTGCGGAGCGAGCCCCCACGCAAGGCGCGCCGGGCCGCGCCCGTCATACAAGCGCGCGCGCGGCACGACCTCACCTCCCCGCGGCCGACCCGCCCCCGCCCCGCAACGCCGCGCCGCCGCAAGCCCAGGCCCAGCAGGGAGGAGGCTTGCCGCGCACGCGCCCCGCTTCCGCAGCGGTCTTCTCTTCCGTGGAAGCGCACCTGCCGCATGGGAACACGCATCCTCTCTCTGGACGGCCCGTGGGACGCAGAGCGCGCGCGAGGTTGCCCCCGCATTGGCGAACAGCCCCGCGTCCCGGCCGGCAGCGTCTACGTCTCTGCTGTGCAGCGGCCTCTTCGCCGCAGACACACGGCGCCCCTTCACCGTTAAACAGTTGTGGCTTCGTGGGGGGGGAGGAGGGAGGGAGGGGACATCATAGTGTGTGTGTCCGCCTCAAACCAGCAGCACGGCATGTCAAATATCAGCAACCACACTTAATCCCTCACGCCCTCCGCACTCCACGACCAGTGCCTCGCCGTGATCGCGGCCCGCGTCTGCGGAAAGCCCACGCGTTTCCGCTGCTGCCTACTTCCTAGCGCGACGTTTTATGTTGAAGGGTTATTTCGACGCGTCAAGCACAGCAGCCGTGTTGCATTGCACCCGTCTGGAAACAGATGTTTCCACGCCTTGCCGGGGCGGGCCGGGCGTCGATAGCGATAGACGACGGTCGACCGGAAGGCTGGGGTTTATTCATTCCCTGTGTAGGCAGCGCATGCTTCTACGGCCAGCGGGCGTCGCGCGGCCTTACTCTTCGAAGTTGTGCACTAATCACTTCTTGGAAAGCACAAGGTACCCTTGAAGGGTACCCTTCAAGGTAACACCGGCGAGTTTACGAGTGGGGTCATCTCGTGGAAGTGCATTTTTCCAGCTCGACGATTCCACATGGCGCTAGGGGTCTAGTCAGTATCCAAAATTTAGTGGAGAAAAACAACCACGAAAAACGATTTGCACCCCAATGGCGAATTCCCTCAATATCCACCAACGCGTGACGTCATCACCAGTTCAACGTTCTCTTCCAACTTTCTGCTGACCCAACCCCCCCGCCTTCACAGGGATGCACTACCTACAGCACTCGATCGTGCGACCCGCAAACCTCTCGCGTCTGCACACCGCGGAATGCTAGAAGGGCTGCATCACGCCGAGCACTCCTCCCCGCCCCCGCCTTCGATGCAGTGCTACCTGCTACCTCTCATGTGCCCAGACAATTTTGAAGCCCGGTCCCACCGGGTACTGCCCTCTGCCAAGGCTGCCCCCCTGCTTCATTCGCAACGTGTGATGTGTATAGGAGGGGGAGTTGAAAACATTCCATTTTACATTCGAGCTCCATCAATTCTATGAAACCCTCCTCGAGGGATGCTGTCAAGCCCTGTCTCTGCGTGTTCATGACATCGGCGCATTAGACCCAATTAACGGCACTCTAGGCATTTTGACACAACCTTTTCTGCTTTGAGGATAAACAAAGACATACAACGAATCAAGTCATCACTTCGCACGCAACGTGTTATGTGTGGGAGGGGGAGTTTGAATGCCTTCACGCTGCATCTGCATGGTGGCATGTCTACAAGACGCAATCTTGACGCATGCTGGCCAGCCCTATGCCTGTAGAGTTCCATCGCCTCATGTGACCGACCCCAATTAACGCACCATGCATTTCAACAGAACCTTTCCCTGGGGTCAAGAGGAGACCAAGAGATTTTGCAAAATCACTCATGGAAACAGTCGTTCATGAGAAGAAAAAATAAAGTTATTGCAAAAGTCGGGTCAAACTCCTAAACACGCATTGCGGTCTTTACGCAGAATGCATTGGTAGCTTTAGTGAGTGTGTCTTTACAGCATCCGGCCCGCATTCAGACCCCCTCAGCACCGGAATTTTATTCTAGCCGCGACATGCGTGTTCCGTCCAAACTTGCACACGACGTTAACAACCCTCCTGTGAGTCCTCCACGCCTTGACGGCCCCGTTCGAATACGTGCCAGCAATGTAGTGTGGCTCTGTAACTTCCGTCCTGGCGTACACCCCGTTGACGTAGAACTTGACCCAGCGCACGGACGCCGCTGGGTCGCATCGGATGCTCAAACCTTCTGGGTAGTGTGACCGGCAGACGCGCGAACCGTCTCGGAGAGCCACCTCGGCGTGCCGACTCTCCAACGCGATACGTCCCGCTGGAACAACGAAGAGCTGCGGTTTCAGTATAGGGCCGTGCATTCGGCGAGAGACTAGCACTGCGCTCAGGCCGCACGACAGGAGACATAGGACATGCACAAGGGTACTCACGAAACGCTGCTGCATGGCTTGTCACATCAGCGAAATCTACGCGGCGCTACCCTTTTTCTCGTGAGCGTTGCTGTAGGCCTTCGGAGAAGGGCGTTGTGGCGGAGCAGCCGAGGGTGAAAAGCGAACTGGGTGACAAAAGCAACTCAAGATCCCCAGCCATCGCACACAACTGCTACATGGAGCTACTTTCAGACAGGACAGAACAAGAGAGGACGAGAAGGAGATGGAAGTTGCATGGCAAGGGACACGAAATGATTTGGCTCGATGTATGAGAAAAAAGGTGAAGTTGCACAAGTTTCAGACAGGTGACGGTATGTGTACTCGTTTTCCACCCTTCATTATCCTACTGCTTCTTTCTCAGCGGGGGCATCTCCACAGAGACAGACGATGGCTACAATTGGGCCCATCCGCGCAGAGAAATGGCCGACGCGACTGAGGAGTTGGGTATCTCCCCGCACGGCTACCGACGGAAGTTGCGGGTACATAGAGCGACTCAAAGCTTCACTTTCGTGGCACGGCCCCAGAACTGCTATGCAGAGCCTGAGCAGACGTCGTGCCGAAGTAGAGCATTTTTGCAGATGAGAGCAGGAATGTTCATCGAGCAGTGCCCCTGGTGGGCGGCGTCTACTGCCGATTCCAAGAAGGGGCATCATCGCATGCCGCGAGATCATCGCACCCGTGCTCGCTTCTGCGATCTCTGAACATCATTTGATTGCCGCCCATTTCCGGTGACGAATGCCGATGTTTGGACCTTGTCGGCTTGCATTTCGACGGGGCGGAGGCCCGGTGAGGGCTCAATTGCGGCCAAAAACGCGGCGACGGACATACAGCAACTTGACGATGAATAGGCGGAAAGCCAGTCCCCCCTGACCGGGAAACCAGATTTCGTCAGGCGGCGCGGATGATAACCGCAGGGGCATATCAAAAGTTGGTCAAAAGTTGGTGCGGAGCATTTGTCGGGCTGCGTCTCAACGTTCGCTCAGCTTGTTTGGAATTTTGTGAGTGAGAGATCAGCAGGGGGGTGTGGATTAGGGTTGACGACAGCTGTTCATCTTGCGGGGGTCGCTTATTTACATTGCTGTACACATTGCTGGCCAGTGTGGAATAGGGTTGACGACAGCTGTCCATCTTGCAGGGGTCGCTTTTTACATTGCTGTACACATTGCTGGCCAGGTGGCCTTGATTGGCTCGGATGTCGGACGCCGACGTCACCCCACCTGAGTTGATGCTGGTGCCAGCATGATGCCAGCATCAATTGGTGCCAATTGGTGCCAGCACCAATTGTTCGGAAACAATCGGAGCAGTCTCGATATGCCTCCTTGGGGGTGTATCCGGAAACGTCGGGAATCAGTCACTGCTATAAACCGGGAGAGGCCCCAAGTGCGCATCCTCGCAGACTCCTCGCTGTCGAATCCTGCATCTTCTTGCGTTGCTCGGGACAGCCTGTGGTGTGCGCCCGGTCACCAGGAGCACGCAATCTTTGCAACTCGTACAGTATAATACTGTAGCTAACGTATCGTTTTTGTTTTTGTCTTAAGCAACTCTCCATCCCCTCCCCGCCAGAAGGTAGTTTACAAACCACGTATGCACATATTCGTTTGTTTCCCGTGCAATAGTCTGGGAGGTGCACTCCGTCGTCGCGATACAGCAAACAGAATACTGTACTCGTTCCACACGGCGAAGCCGCTGGCGAAATGGGAAATGCAGCGTGTCGGTTTTGCTGGTCGGGGGCATCTGTGTGTGAGAGCAAGGAAAACGTGGACTCTCTCAGACAGGTACAGTGGTACATTGTGTGCAACTCATATATGTGTTCATCGACATTGAGGCCACGTAAAAGTAGGGCTGGGCTAGCTAGTCGCTGAATTAGCGCGCGAATGACAGCGAAATGAGTGGTGATATTAGAATTTCGACGGTCGAAGCAGGCAACGAAAAGCTGTGCTCTCTCTCTCTCCTACTTGCCGTTTTGGGTTTGCACTGGTTGCACAGTATCTACAGCACTTGCCTGTGCATCGCGCACTTTCGAGTAACAAGTAGGAAGGGTTTCCCGGACCTCGTTGGGCCGAGTTGCGCACGTCGATAAACGCAAGCACACACAGCCCTGTCCGAGCGCATGGGGCAGCACGACCCATCTCACACAAGCATTGTTGGAGGCACGGCAGGCCTCCAACAATGCTTGTGTGAGATCATTCCCGGACAAGCTCGCGCACACTGGCGCACGTACAGTACCCTTGGTAATGCAGTTACCCCTTTGGACGACTATGACGCGTGGCAGCGGAGCGCAGCACTGCACCTTTTTCAAGCGCGGCGCCATCTCACGCTTATCAGTAACCGAATCCCATACAAGCAGCATGTGTCGCTGGTGGCCAAACACGGCTAAAAAGGGGCACACGGCTGACGAATGGCAGGGCGGACAGCGACGCACACGGGCGCGCGGTCGGGGGGTGTGACAGCGCGTGGCGCGCGGTTGAAGAGCGAGGAACGGTCGGGGGGGATACACGGCGCGCCGCGCATGCCATCCACGCGGGACTTGGCGAGCCCCGTGGCGCTGGGAGGCGGCGGGCGCGGAGCAAGCTGCCGTCGGCCTGGGCGAGACGTCCGCTCGCCACGCAGTGCAAGCGGCGTGC